ATTATTTTTCTATTTTAATCTATTCTAATTATATATTTATATATAAAAGGTAATATTTTCTACATTTAAAAATAATAATTATCGAAAACTAAACGTTTATATAGCACCTATACCATTACACCTTATGATGCAATACAATCTATAGTGATCAATTCTTATATAAATAAATTCTTCAACCTCTTCAGGGAGAAATTTATTAAGTCCAGGAAAAGACAACTATTTTATAACACCGTTAAAAATAATACCCACGTAGATCACCATTATTAACCATTCTCAAAAAATATTTTGTATAGTCAAGTTACAATACAAAATTATAATATCAAATTATAATACAAAAATTATACTACAATATAAACGTTTGAACGCACTACTTACAACTACACTAACCCAATTTGTCATACAAATCTCATCTTTTGCAAGCACAAAATTATCTTTAACAATCCAAGATGCCACGTAGTTACCCAATATACCAACTTCATGTACCGTTCATTAATTTTTCACGTAATCACTAAACCCCTACACTATATCCCATCGACACACGCGTTTTATGAAAAAAGCTCCTTTTCCTGGAAAATTGCGAAGCTCAACTGTGACGCGAATTCGAGTTATTTTTAAGTGACCATCTTAATGCAAAGAACATTATCGTATCGGTGTTGCTTCGAAGGTCCGCGTGTAACCCAACGCAACACTAATTCGAATGACCATCGAATATTAATTTCACGGACTAACGCGTTAAATATACGTGAAACCGTGACAATTGATTTAATTTATCAGCGATGGTCTGAACAGGTGAAGCGACACAACGAGGTGTAACGTGTACAGGTCCTCTGGCGTACGCTATATTTCCGGTTTGCTAAAAATAAAACCAGCCTCGAAGACACGTTCTGTTATTCCACGGTTTTCTTCATAAGTTTTCTTCATAAATTTCTTTTCACCGCAGCGAGGTGAACGACTATTAATAAGTTAAACGACATTGCTCGAAATCCTCGAAACCTCCACTCTATCCATCTAACAAACACATCTTCGAATGAGATGAGACGAAAAGCAAATTTTTCCAAAGTCCATATCTAAAATTGACGATGGAATTCGGTATTTATCGAGTTATCCATATTACCAAACAATGATCAATAGTCTACCAAGAATTCCTCAATCTCTAATTAGCTCATAGACTTCTTCAACCTCATTTCCTCATTATTGAGATGAAAAATTAATTTTTCAAAAGTCTAATGAAAGTCTAATGAATCTATTCATTTATCCATATTAACATAGGGTTATCCATAGTTATAGCTTGGAAAGAACTCTGTCATCCTCAATTAATTCTGAGATTTCTTCAATTACGTTTCTTCGCTGATGAGACAAAATTTTGTCAAAGTTTACATTCAAAATTAACAATGCAATTACTAATACTAATTCATCCACGTCGAACTATCAAAAGTTATCTGCAGCTAACTAGATATTCTTTTATACCTAATAGATTCCCAAATTTCCTCAGTCCTCGATCCCACTTCAACCAAAGAATCTCTGAACGTATCACCAACCTAATACCAAATCTCACGAAATTCTACGCGAACGATTAATCTTCGATGTTTTCCAACTGAAGAAACCCAGATCACAGTGCGCGTCTAACAACGACCTCGAGATCTATCTCGAGGAATCGTCGATCGATTGCGGCTGAAAATCTCACGAAAGCTAAAATTAAGATATCGGGTCCAAAGTATTCCGAATATTCGTGCAACCACTGATCATCACGTGTGAATCGGCCATTTCTCTCTGATCGGGCTTGCTCTTAAATATATACACCTCCAGCCTTTCGTCCACCTCTTCGAGCCTCGTCGGTGAAGAAACGTGGAAAAGAAGTGGACCAGGCTGCAGAAAATAACGAAAAACGTTCTGGTGATCAACAAGAGGAACTGGCCCGGTTTTCCGTGGAACAGCCTTCCGTTTGATGTCCATGTGTATTCTAGGAACCGGAAAGCTCGATGGCGTTGGCGTGCACGTATCGAACAGAAACGCGTCGATACGCCAGCCTTCTTCGTCTATTCCGGATCGACGATTGCCCAAACGCACACACTGTGCTTTAAAACCGACATTCCTGATTGATCTCGATCGCATCGAGGATTCCGTTTCTGTCAGCCTCTAATTGCCGCGGTAAAACCGACCGCATTGCTGTACACTGTGCCACGCTTGGGTTCTTGTTGTTCGATGCTTTGTTGATATGGTAAAACGCTTTGCGAGCTGAGCGTTCCTCGGCAAGAACGATGATTGCGGAGTGTCTGTGTTGCTGTACGGTCGAGGATACTCGTGTTTAACGCGTTCGATGCTGATCGAGTTTCCATCGCTTACAGCCATCTACATTCTGCAGGATAAGCCGTGGTAGAGTTTCATTTTTATATCTTTTGTGAATCGTAGATATTAGTCTTATAAGTGCTATATAGGTAGTAGATATTTCCATACTTACGTGTACTTGATTGTAAGTGGATGGTCATATTAGTCATTCATACGTCACAGTGATTGATTCCGTTTTTCGAATCTTTTTCGAATTTCGAGCCAAAGCACTTGGTTGCTGCTTAACTTATTATACTTGGAATTAATTTATGTTGCTCGTTTCGAGGAGTTGGTCGATTTGCCACATGAACAAGTCATATATGTGCCACGAAGCTGAATACTGACTAGAGTTTAAGTTAAAGAAGAGAATTTGATGATGTATTTGGTAAATGTAGTATTGGGTATTGAGACGTTCGATGAATTGGTTTACTTTTTAGTTTTTTAACAATATTGTTTATTCGTCTCTTTATATCTTTCCTTGGAGTCGATTGGTTTAGTCTAAAGTAATTTTCATCGTCCTTGTCTTCACAAAATAAGGTCGAGTAAATTTGAAGAAATTAATATTTCCAATCGTTCTACTCGACTGACGCCATTACGGAAACGTTGATAGTCTGCAAGGTGATACTTCAATTCGTTTTCAATGATAAAGATAAAATAAATTAAAAAATATTTGTAATTTATAACTCTTATTTCTCGAAATTGGAAAAGCGTCCTATCCTATCGAAGAAGTATATTAAAGTTATTAAACGAATGAAAAAATTTTCAGGATACAAAGAGTTAATATAACCTAGCTCTAAATAGGTACTGATTCCTTTCAGTGCTCTCCATTCCATTAAATTTTTAATCGCAAGAAATTTGAAATGATCAAAAATAATTGTACGGATTCTGAAAATAACAGAAATTTCACGAGTAATGGACAATTCTTATAATCCTCAACGTCCAAAGAAAGAAAAAAGAAGAAAATCCAGAAGAACCTACACGATACATTTAAATACGTCCAAATTAAAGAATAAAAAAGGGAAAGACTTCCACCTGGCATCGTTAAATCCAGTCAGATTCCATCTTTTCGTTCAACTAAACAGCGCAGCTGCCATTCGTCGCGCCGCGAAAATCATGGACATTCCAGGCCTACAGAACCTGCAGGACTCATGAATCGAGTCGATCGTTCGATTAAACGATACAAAGTTCCAAAGTGCCCATGGATGCTCCACAACGAGCCCTTTCTCTCGTGCACGCCCCCACACCCCTCTGTCGAAGCTAACCCTCTCGTCTACTCCTTCCTCCTGCTCTCTCCAGAGTCTATCAGCTATCCCACACCACCCCCCACGATCAATGCTTGTGAAAAGGCTCGATGCGCGCGCCCTCGCCATCGTTCCAGCTTGATTTCCCTCGACCGAGTCGAGTCCGCTGGAATTTTCACGGGTCATCGCGAACCAGGGCCTCCTGGTGGTCCCCAGAACCGATTGAGTCGAAAAAGAACAAAGGGTTCGACCACGGGGACCCCAGGTTCCTCCTGTCGTCCGCTTCTTCCCAGATCGCTTCGCAATGTGCTGCAAGGGGTAAACACTCGAGCAGGAGTATGCGCAAATCGGGGTGGGAAATGTGGCGCCCCGTTATCGGGCTCCAAAGATGGTGGGTTGCGCCAGCGACGATCCCAGTGCACGAGGAAGCAATTATGGATTCTTGAGAGATTGGACGGCTGGGATAGGCTGGAGGTCATCGGAGAATTTGGAGCGACTGGTTTGGGTGGCAGGGTGATCACCCGTTGCGTGATTCCTCGGGATCTAGATGTCCGATGCTATCGAGCAGCCGAGCTGAATGCCACGCTGAAAACTAGGGCAAGGGGTTGAACATTTTCTGAAAGTATTTCCAAGTTCGGCGATATTTTTTCGATACCTCGCGTGACCTGATTCTCAACTTGAAACGACGCGAGAAGGACATATGCGACAAATGATCGTGTACGATATTGTACGAATTAGGAGTAGGAGCTGAAAGTTGGAAGACAAGCTGACCCAAAGTCAGTCAGAGTAACCTAGCCTTTTGCATCGCTTAACAACGACAGCGTATATCGGATTCTTGAAACTTTAGTCGAGTTTAAGTCCTCGAACTTGAATCGAAAGTTGGGACTGGTATCCTAGACCGCGGATCACGAGAATGCCAGAGTGGAAACTGCGATCGGAGATTCGACTAAAGTCGGAAGGAATTAGCAAGGAAAGGTCTTCTTTGCATGAACATGCCACCCTCTGTACACACGGTGAATGGGCACTTGCCATTCATCATTCTTGGAGGTCAGCCAGCTTCAACTTCGCACGCCGACCAAGGTTTCGGAGCCCGTGAAAAGGCGGGACGAGCGTACTCCGGCGGCAACGCGCCGCATATTCGATTTCGTTACCGAACGCGCTCATATCGATTGGTCCACTGCCTTGCAGTTTTTCCGTGAAAACTGGCCTCACGTTCTGACACTGGTCAGGAACTCCTATACACACCGGTCGATCGGACTCCAAAAATCTATCTACGACGACATATCCTTCTCGCATCTTCGAAAATCATTTATCCTGCACGGTTACCTTCCATTCGACCTATTCGAGCCTTCTCAAAGGAACTCGATCGTCTCTAAAATTGGAGGATCGATGCGCAAGTTTAGAACAGTATAACCCAACCAAACGTTGTCGCCTGGTAATCCCGCTTGCAATTAACTCCATGATGTTCCATTATCTCTTATCAATCTATAGCTTCACCTAACAATCGTCATACATATAGTAGTAGTCATAAACAAGAACAAAAGAGCGACTGGGTTGGGTGGTACCCCTTACCTTCGCAGATGTACCCCTGCTGTATGAGGCCCCACAGCATGTCGGTGCAGCTATGGCAGAACGTCGGCTTGTGAAACATCTTCTTGCTGAAGCTGTGCCCATGGCTGGCTGGAGTCTCAGCCGAGACCGACGCCATGTTCCCCGTTCCACCGCGGCACCGCTCACGCCAGATTTTCACCGTGAAGCTACACAGGGCGCGCCGCGCGTCGATGACAACATAATTACACGGCAGCCACTACGTGATCTCGAAACCGTACGCGTACATAATTGCGTTGCTGCAGCTGCACTCGCGGCTGGCTGCTCGGGTCCCTCGCGTCGTACCGTCGTCCTCGTCGTCGCGTAACGTGCCTAACGCGCATTATTCTCGAAGCTGCGCCCCCAAGACCGACCGACCGACCGGCACGGCACCGTACGCGACACCGAGATTGCGTTTGATCGTACACCAGTCAGCAGACACCACTGTTTCGCGGCTGACCATCACCGTCATCGGCCGCTGTTACTGCCGCCTCCGCCTCCGCCGGGAGCTTCACTCGCGGTACAACGACGATGCGGGTGTCGCGTTCGCGCATCCGAGCCACGGAGCGGGCGCCGAGTGGCCGCACTGACATCAGCCCCTTCGTCACCACCGCCGTCCAGTGCCGGAATCATGCACAGGCCAGCTGGGGCTCTCGCGAGGGAGCCCCGTTTTTCGGGGAACCCTCGAAATCCTTCACCCGATACAACCTCTTTTCTATGTATTCTTAACGATAATTATTCCCTTCTCGACGATAATAACCGCACTTCTTCGAGGTCTCTAATAGTAAACGATATTCTCTCGCGCCACTGGATACGATGTTACACGCGTGGAACAGTTTTACTCGGTCAAGTAACACGGTCCTTTCTCGTTAAACTATTCTCAATGTCCTGATCGATCTCATAATAGTCTTCGAATTATCAGACACACGTTTGGTTTGGCCGTGTCACATTTTACCCAATTCCGATGACGTCCGCGCGATCTATCGAGTAGACTAGGGCACTAGGTAATCGTGGTCCGGCGTTATCGGCTCCGTCAGCAACGTCGGAACGGCGCCGCTCCACCCCACTGTGCTTTCTCGACAAAGGAGCCCGGGGGAGCTACGCTTCCTCCGTTTCCGTTTTCGTACACGCCACTGGCCAAGATATCGACTCCCGATGCACGCGAACAAAAGCAACTCCCGATGACGAGAAAACGTCGATCCGCCGGTGCAGCGAAACGACCCGGAACACGCAGCACGCTTCGAGGCCGCCTCGACTCGCCTCGACGACGTCAAAGCGACGACCAGTCGTCGACGCTGCTCTGCTCGCGCGCCGACGCGAATCCGCAGCGTTCTTCTCGCGCAACGCGCTTACGTTTCATGCGTGCACCGGCCATTCCACGTCTGAACCGCACCATGAACAACCTCGTTCCGTTTTCTTCTTTCTTTCGCTGCTTTCTCCACGGCGTATCGTCTTTTCTGGAAATGTTCGTAAGAAGCTTTAGGGGATGCCTAGGTGAACAATGATTGCGGGTGGATGGAAAAGAAAAAGATGGTAATCGCAGACATTTTGTACGTCTGGTTGTTTAACGATGGTTGTTTTATTTGGAGGAAAGAAGTGCTTGGATAATTTTAAACTAGCTTTGTTTCGATGTCTCATTCTATATGGAGATAGGTATATGGTAGTTTTGGTTTAGAGTATTAGAGAATGGTATTACCTGGTTTTGGATAATTATTTTTGTCGGGCTTTAAAGGATAGTCTTGTACTCTGATTATTTCGTTTTATTCGTTAATGTCGATAATTTGATAACTAGGTGATTTGTCTTTGGCATCAACCTGTGTAAAAGTTTGTTGAGAAAATTAACAAAATTTGAACAAAAATCGATATGATTGGTAAGAATACATACATACATATATCCTATCATGTTTTACTGATTTTGTTTCTATATTGATTTGATAGGACGAGGATATAGTTGAAATTCGTTGTACGATACAAAAGGAGAGAATTCTGTAACCTAAAGTAAATCCGAGTAGTGTTATAACTAATCAAATTTTTTCGCTCCTTTTACTAATTACAGCAATGAAACGATAAGTTAATTCGTTGAAAAGATGCACTTTGTAAACAAAATTTTTTTAATAATTTATATTAATGTTAATAATTTTTTTGAAACTTGAAAATTTCACTAAACGTATGATCTAAAAGGTCTGAAAACCGATTTTAAAATGTGTCGTCTAACAACCATAACTCAAAGCATTTTTCTTACAAATGATCAATTACGACACTTGTAATATTTGATAATGAATATCAAATTCTTATGCCTAATACTTTCTAAATATAATTAAAAACTAAGAAGTATCATACCACTCACAAGTATACGAACCCTTTAGGAAATTAATAATAGCAATGTGCAAATATTAGTAAAATGTATTACTTAATCATCTTTCTGCAAAATCAATAAATTATAAATTTGATTTACTGATTTACAACTCAGCCATGTAATATAAATTCAAATTAATCGTAATATTTAGCTAAAGATAAATAACTTACAAACTAATAAAACTCCAGTGTCCTTCAATAGTAAATTTGATGGCGTCACAACATCCTTCGAGATATAACCCTAATGATAAAAGAAAATAAAATCATTGCCGAATTTCTATTCGTATTTTACCAAATAAATTAAATTCTTTCAAACAATAAAACAAGCAAATGTTTAAATATTTTTGAGCAATAATGTACGTTCCGTTTTTGCCAACTTGTTACAAATAAAATTAACGGTTTCTATCCTGCGTCCTCTAAATAATGCAACATTGTTATTTGCGACATTATTGTCACACATCATCGGCTTGCTGTTGCGTGAATCCTTGAAATACGTGGTCGACAATGCAACGCCGTGAACGTCGATGATGAAAATCTCGACAGCGGTGAGTATAGGATTTTTCAATGCCGGAAGCGGACAAGGAAACGCATCCGCGTGTCCATGTTGTGTTCGTTCTCTTCATTCAATAGTTTAGCGCGCGTCCGTACGGCAACTTAGTTTAGAAAATTAAATATATGGGACAACCGTATCGATTAATCATTCACATACTACGTTATCAAGTAGAAACTTTAAAGTATGTTGCTGTTACGAGATAGAAGATTTGTTCTTCTTCGTAGAGAGGATTATAAAAGGAAGTATTCTTATCGCCCTACAGCAACTCAATTTACCTAAAAAACAATTAAAACTTACACTTACTAATTCATTTTCATACATTATAAATAAAAAAAGTAAAAAAATATATATATACACACATTTTCTAATGAGATAAATTTTTTTAAAATACAAAATGCTTGCTTTTTAATTTACATTATTACAGAATTATAAAATAAAATGCAATTTTATACTCGTACACTGTTAATACCAAGAGAAGTGGATCGCTAAGGGAAAAACTAATTTTCGACTTTAGAATGGTAAAGCAAAAGTGTCATTTAAATTGCTTGATTTTTTTCTTGCAATGTTTTTGAGATATGAAAAAAGGGATTATGTTTAATGATTACTCACGCCAGGTTAATGATCACTTGCTTTTTTAAATGTACCGAATATAAGACGTACCAAACGTTTTCCTCTCGCATTTAAATACAGTAGAAGTATTTTTGCTTGAAGTATTGATACCTATTATTAGAAGGAATATGACCTGATTTATTATTACGATTTAAATAATTAATAAAAATATTCGTTAACAAGATTTTATGTATAAAGGAAAGATAAATGATATTATACTTACAAGTATCCTGAAAGCTTGTACTGAAAATACTGATAGGACAATTATTTGAGGCGAATAGAAAATGCTGAAGAGAAATGAATATTTTACATCACATACTTTATTATGGACGGAGCACAAAGCATCGTCTTTTTAAATACAATATTCATATACTTATCGTAAATATACATGTTCATATGTTTAACATTGGTTCGTATTGTTGTGAATTTTGTTTAATATTTTCATCAGTGTACCACGAGCTCTAATAATTTCAAATACTTAATTCCTAATTTTGATTTTCCGTTGCATGAAACAACTGCATACTACTAAACAAATGCTTCTTCGCTATGTGGTGTGTACGTGTAACCATTAAACTAACCAAGAAAATCTGTGAAACATTATAATAATAATATATCTAAAATATACGTATGTATATAAAAGTATCTACGATACAGAAGATAATGCAATCATATTAGTTTACGTGCACCATCGTTTATTAAATACTTAAATGCAAAATACTCAATGTAGTTTACCTAACATAGCCATTTTCTTCATATTAGTTAAAACTATTCTATGTTCTGTTTGATGAAATTATTTACCAACGTATACATAGTAAAATAAACAAGAAGTAAAATGCCTAGCAATACATTCCCTTTTTTGAGATTAATCGTATCCATTTCAAATCGAATTCACCAAACTCAATGTTATATTTTATTTTCTTTTTTCCATTATTTCTCTTTCATTTTACACAAATTGAATTTCCAATCAGAATTCATATTACCTAGTGATATTAAATAATACCAAACATTTTTCATAAATCTCTCATTCGTTGTTCGTTAACATTGAACATTTGATTTATTCGATTATAAAATTTTTATTTCAAGAAAAAAGATCATTCAAATACCTCCCCGAAGAAAGTTAAATAAATCACAAAACAATAATACCGTATAAAAAGAGAATCGAAATGAATCGGTTTTAACAATGTGACTTGTAAATACGTAATATATACTGTAATGTGTTTTGACTTATCTATGCTTAACATAAACTATAGAAAACAGGTGGATTTACGAGTATACGTATAGTTTTCAGATATGTATAACACGTGATACCTCGTATTAGTTTGTATCAATACCATGAACGAACATTCAACGAACAGTGTTTAAACTTATTGTCCTTATGCAAATTCTCAAAGTGTTCGAAAATACCACTACGATACTGTTAAATACGATCAGCGAACATTTTCTCACACTCAATAAACTATGGTTCTAGTAACGATACAAACTTGTATGCCTTCGGATTTTGCACACGCTTTCGTACAACGCCGATTACGCCATCTGTTCAAAACAATGCGCACAAGAACTAATCGGCAACCACGATGCGCAGAAATACTTCAATAGCTAATACAATAATGATAATTAACAGGAACATGGATATTTTGATGACCACCTGCACCGAAAAATGCTATAGGGTGATGCCTCATTAAAATCAATATCTTCGTCAGTCATTTCCAGTCGGTACACAGGATGACTAATTTTAATCCCTTGGGGACGGGAAGATGAAATGAAATGAATACGAGACAAGCGAAAGGTTAACGGTAGACAAAAATTATAGCATAACGATAATAAATAAAATGAAACAAATCTTTTACAGTCGGAATTGTAAATTCGATTCGCTAAATAATGTAATTTGACAGCATTCATCTGTAAAGGATAAATTTACAGATTCATCAGAGAAAATATGCTGAATCAAACGAAATAAAATGAAGATACACTTTCTTCAAATTTTAAAAGAATGTCAGATTTCTTTCACATCACATTACATTATTTTTATGCGTTTAAAAATGTTTTCACAATATAAGTTTATCATATGCATATTAAACAATCTTAATCAGTAACATGAATAAAATGAATTAAAATTTTTTTTAAAAGATAACGTATTTTTCGTATAAATTTATTTACATATTAAAATAAGTCATCCTGTGTAAAACAAATAATAAATTTGCTCAATCATTTGGTAAAGATTTATGTGAATAATAAGTTCTTCCTGTGCTTATCAATCAATTCAACAAAATTTAGAAAATTTTACAGCATATCCAGTTTTAAATTTAACTAGTAATATATTTTATTAGCTTTGCAAAAAGACGACTGACTGCTTTTATAGTACATTTTCTTTTCCTACAATTAATTACAAAAATTCAAAAATTATTTTTATATCATCTAAATATATAACGTATTTTGGATCTATTTATTAAATATTACTTCATTTAATCATGTTCTGAAGTTTTTATAACTATTTTATATTTGCAATTATTAGCGTCCTCTGTATTATGCAACAGGAATGAATGAAAGATATCGTTACATTTATCTTATAATAAACTTTACAGTGGTACATATAATTTTGATAAATGTTTCACGAAATATGATCAGTTAGATTATTTGAACATTTGTTCTGTTCTACTTTTCAAGTTTCTATCGAAAATAAATAGTTTAGTTAAAAGAAATCATATAAATAAGAAAAGGCATCAAAATTACGCATAAAAATATACAAAAACCACAACAAATTTTTATTTTTGATAAATAAAAATCATATACATTTAAACTGGATATGCTATACAACTCTTATATAAATAGTAAAATCGAACATTTAACTATTAATTATAACAAGAAAAACTTTTGTCTTCATATACCAATAACGATTATTGAAAAATATACAACACACATAATGACAAAAACAGTTTATGTAATTACCTTATTAAATTCCAACAATATCAAAATGTTTTTGTCAATTTTTTTTAACATCTGCTATATTTCAAATGATTTTCTTAGAAAATCTTAATTTTCTATGTGTATTATATCTGTTTAGCTGGAAGATAATTGTTTCAGACATATTATTGTAAATCTTTAACAAGAAATTTTGTTTTCTAGGAGTCATAATTTTATTGTGTTTAAATAATTTTGTAAACGTCAAATATTTAAAGCAGCAATTCATGTAAAATGAATTCTTAAAATTCTAAGTATTCCATTAATATTTCCATTATATTTTTATTTCTTCTAGAAAAACATTATTTTTGTTTTTCTTTCAATGTTGATTTACTTTTACTTGAATGATTGGATTACTTTTAAATGGTATGCTCAAAAATTTTCTGCCCGCTATTTATATGCAAATTATAACAATGTCACTACTAGTTTAAAATCATTAAAACATAATGACATTTTTTAGAACTCATATACTCAATCCAATAAAATGATTGAATGCAAATGTAATTTTAATAAGCACCTCGCGAACGGTACATTAATACATCTATAGTAATAATATTAAGAAATATTCAATAATCATTTAATCTTTTATGTGTAAATAGTTTAATAAAAGTCAGTTAATACAAGAAAAATATAACAGCTTATGTAGTAACATTCAGATACTGCATATAGAGAATAATTTAATCTAAATATTATTGGGAATTAAATTATATTTCCCGTGCTGTATAAAACAAAATAATCCTGAATGAGAAAAGTACTACACTTCTATTGAAGTCATATAAAAATAGTATTAATGTTAGTCACAAAAAAATGCAATTTACAACAATAATTCTATCAATAGAAATGTAAGTTCTTATTTTAAACATAATTATTTAATACTATCAATTTTCTTGCATACTATATTAGAAGTAATGCAAGGAAATATAAGAATAATAGATATAATATCATATTATAAATCACGTAAAAGATTAAATCATCGTGGGAAAACATGTACATATATATATATACATGTATATAGTATAGTACTGCTAGTACTTCAATAACGAGGAACAAGTTGGCCAATTTTTCTTAACATGCATGGAATAACTACATGTCATTGACTTGTAAAACAATCATCATAACTTTTCCAATATAATTACCAACTAATTTATAATAAAAACATGACTTTAATTAAAAAAGCAATTTTAATTCATTAATTATCTCTGCAGTACCATACTTTAAAATATAATTGATAAAGCTTACAGTAAACGAAATTCTGGAATGTTGAAGCAGTGTTGTAAGAGTACACCATTTATGTTAGGCTGGATATATTGTTTACAAAGTATTATCCCAGACTATGGTCCTCAAAGAAGCCTTGTGGAGTTTCCTCCTGAAACATATCAACAATATTATTAAACTAGAGATTTTCACAAAAGGTACATCTAAGGATATGAAGAGGGATCAATTTCTTTGATGCTGCATATTATCATATAATGCAAATATACAATAATGAAAATATAAAAACAAACACGTACCTAGTTTGTAATTAAGTAATCTCCTTGATGCAGCTTCAAATGATGAACTGAACCCTTTTCATATAACTGAGTATATACTTGTATGGATACACAAAGCTGCACAAAGCACATGTTCATTTATTGCTTCGTTTAAAATGCTTAAGCATCGATCAAAGAAATATCTGTATTGCATGCTGCATACAGAATGTCTCTATATTTATAGTTAAGTAAGTGTAGATATTGTAAATTTCATGAAGTTAGGTAAAGCTTTTCTAATAAATAATGAATAAATAAAAGTTCTAATAATAACTTTATTTTAGAAAGGAATAATTAAACAAATATCTTGTTAAAACCTGAAAGGGTAAATATAGTAGCAATAAATACATAAATGGGTTAATTACATGGAAAAGGTAGTATATAATTTTGTATACAATTATATAAAAATTTCTTTGTATACATTTATTACGAGTATTATTACTGTGTTAAAGTTATAATATTAAAAATTGACACTGTTTATGTATATACACATGTACACATATAAAAGTGACACCTTCAAACATTCACTTCTAATTAAATACTAAAATAAATATTTTAAGTAGACAAATGTAATACTATACAACATGTAAGAAGAAAAAACTTTTTATGCAACTAAAAAATTATGTAAACATTATTTAAACATATCTTTATGTTCACACATAAAAAAAATAATAATTTTTTAAATGTGCATAATTTGATTACCATATTATGGGAATAATATTATCTCTTTTTATCTGCTGAATGATAAAATAAAAATTAATCTTGTAAAATGTATATGTATATGTTATGTATATCTAACGTATAAACACATACATGCGCGCGCGTATACATATATACATTTGCGCTGTGTATGTGTGTGTGTGTGTGTATGAGTGAGTGTAAGAATATTATATATATATATAACATTATGTATATAATATACATAATAAGCTACATGAACATTATTGTTAAATTTATTAGTATTATAGTACTCGCCTATAAAAAATATACTAATGTTCAAATATTAGATTTGTAAGTGTTATCAATGGTATGTAAAAAATGTATGCTCAATAACTATAGAAAAAGTAGAGATGTATGATGGCATCATGCAGCGAGTGAGCCTGCTCCGGATCTTGATTCATGTGGGCTGTCGGATTGGCCATAGAGGGCATGCAAGAATGCAGCACCTACAAAAGCCCTATCTCCCGCAGAGCACCTTCCACAGCTTCATCCTTCCACAAACAAACAAATATTCTAACTAATCTTTAGTGTATTTCTAGATGTGTCCTTAGTAATGGAACAATAATCTTGAGCTAAATCTTATTATTAAATTTTATTTTACAAGATATATTATAAAATATGTAAAGTATATTGTGAAATATCTTAAAAACTGAAGAATTAAATTAAAATTTCTTTATACATGATACTTTATTATCCCTCTATAATTAATACTTAAACGACATAAAGTTAGCAAAATTAATAAATTGCATGTTGATAACCAAAGCATGCATTTCAATTCACTGCAATCTTTATATTTACTATCTTCACTATATTTTATCTACTATGTTCTGCTGCTTTTGTTTACACAATTTAAAATTAAAATAGGTCTTTCAATACAATTAAAATGTGAAATATTTTTATTCGGTAATAATTTTTGAAATTATAAAATCACTATTATATTTTATGATGTTATTAAAATTTTATAATATTATTAATTAAAAGTTTAAGTATCATCTTTTAAAATCAACACTTAGAAGATTTCATAAGATATTTGACTAAACTATCAAATAAAATTTTTTGTTATACTTCCATACAAACTTTCATGATAATACATCACAAAATATAACATTCATATTGTATAGAAAATAATTTTGCTCCAAACATTGTACAACAATACCCTATAAATATAATTTAAATATATCATTTATGTATAAAATCAAAGTGAAAACATAATACAGAATATTGTTAAAAACATCAAGTATTATATATATTAAGTTATTTATTAATATAAATATGTTTGATATGTAAACAAGATATGATTAAGATATTACCTTGTAAAAACCAATATTTATGGACAAATGATATCCTCTGACCTTTTTTGTCATTTTTACAATAATGTCTTATTTAAACAAGATAAATAAATGCTATATGTGTATAAGAATATCTAAAAAAAATAATAAACGTACAAGCATACTTCCGCATTATAGGAACTTATCACAAATACCATTTAAGGTATCATAAATCACAATCAATACCATAACATAAAATCATCAACATAATTGACAATGATTAATGTTTATTACAATTTGGAAATATATACATACATTTCAATAACTACTTATGAACAACAGCATTTCCATAGCATCACACCCTTTGGGGTAAAATAACTATTCTTACAAAAATTAAACAATTAAATTATATTATTACTTTTAATAAAATGAGAATAAACTCAATATTATTCAATAATATGTATTTTGTTATCATTATGTTAATCAATGCATGCATAGAATAAAAATAAAAATATTATAAATAATAAAGTAATACAATTGATTTAATTTTATATATATATTTATATTATTGTTGTCATTAATATGTTATCAGTATGTCATCAACATGATACTGTAATCATCTGTATTGTTTTTGTTTTGTTGTAAAAATGTTTAAGTGTTACTGTTTGAAGTAATGTGTAACATACTTTAAATGAGAAATTTTTGAATAGTGTCTTAAACTAGTAGAAATTATTTTTCTTTTAAAAGCAATTTGATTTATATAAAACACAAAAAAATGTATCAGAGATATTTTTTGGGCAACAGTGGAAGTTAGAATATAAATTTAATAATAAAATATTTACTGAAATTCTTTTTTTAAGAGCTTAAAATATCAAAATATTAAAAAAGAAAAATACTGAGTTTAAAAATCAACCTTCTTAAATCTGTTATCAATTCTTAATTGACCCTTTAATATTAAAAATGTTTTTCATTTTATTTAATAGATATAGAATTATATTAGATTAAATATAGATATAGAATTATCTATATCTATTAATATAGATATAGAACCATATACAAAATACTATAAACTTCTACTGCCATATGTAATTCAATTAAGTTTACTTTATATATTCAAAATTTCTATTTTATATTTTAAATAATCACTAATTATTTGTATATTAGAATTATTAAATAGGAATAATTTTTCTATTCTTTTATTCCAACATAAGTAAAATAATGTACTTTGTAAAAAATATTGAAACTAATGAAATAAATTTTGAAAATATGTAAACTTGAAAAGTATTTATAAAGTACATTTTCTGTTGTTTATACTCTTATTCCCATAGTTATTTAACACGTTTAGTGTCAAATGATAACTAATGGACATTTGGCACAAGCTTAATAAAACTACATATCTACTGGTCAACATTTTGAAAAAATAGATGCACTGATAAAATTCAATGAAACGATGTAGTAATGTAATAGTAATAATAATAATGATGATGAGAAAAAGATGTAAATCATAGAGAAAATTGACAGAAAAGATTTCCATTCTATGAGCAAATTTTTATTTTATGAAATAGTACTTAAAGTGTTGACATAACAATTCTTAAAGTCACTATTTAAACTACATGAATGTTAGATAAAAAAAAATATGCTACATATTTTTTTCTACATACATACATACAAAAGGAAAAAATATTAAATTGTAATACATAATGAATTTGAAAAAATCCTAATATGAAAAAATAACTTTCACTCTGATAGTATGTATTGTCAATATTTTAATAATACTATACATTAATTATATTGTAAATAATTATAGGATGTTTAATAATCTTATAATATTTATTTGTTTCATATAAAATTTATTTTGATAAAAACAACTAACTAGTATTTTCTTATGCGATGCATTTGATTTACTTCAATTTAAAAAGTACTATTATAGAGGAACATTTAAACCAGAAATAATATTATATTGTCATAAATTTTATAAACTTTGCTACAATATTGAACACAGTGTTATGTTCATCAAACAATATTTGATATGAAAATAATATGGCAGCTTTATAAATTCGATTTTGTCACTATAGATATGCTGTTGCGTACATTATGAATAAAAATTCATAACACGTGTAAGCCCACTTACATTAATAAAAGAATAAGCGTATAAGCATTCTATGCACACAGCATTAGCTACAAAGAAAATAAAGAGTCACAATGTATTTAAATACGAAATATATCTATATCCATCTATATGTAATATTTTACTTAATATTACTGAAAAAAATGAGAAAACATCTGTTGTGTTCTCCTAATTATTAACTATAATTATTTTATGACACATTATGTTGTAAAGAAATAATCACAATCATGATTCATAGTAATAAAAAGTGTTACCAATGATTGCATGTACATATTAACTATAACTGAATTTATAACATGAATTTTTAAACCAAACATATAACAATTATTACATACAACACACATCAAACATTGATAAAAACTTCAAGTACTTTGTAACAGACTTGTATAAAGGAATAGAATTATTTTCAAACTAAAATACATAATAGTATTACTGTAAAAATATGTAATGGTATTATGTAATATATACGTTGGACATGAAACATATGGAAACATGAAGAAATATAAAATCAAAAAAAGAATAATACATGAATATTTAAAATCAAAAAAATTACATTCCATCATGCAATTTAAATATTACGCTGTTAATAGACATTAAGATATCATTACAACCAAGTTTCTCCAGGCATTAAAACAATGTGGTAATTATTTTCATGTTAAAAAATATTGCTTTATATCTTTCTAGTATATATATTCTTTTCCAATGCTGTATTAAGTATTATTGCAAATTACTCTATATACACTTAAAAAATTATATTTAATATCACATAAATTTATGTGAAAATATTGGTACATAATCCTTACAACAGAACAGTATAGATACATTCATAATAATGTACTATTCCCAATTATATTTTTACATCACCACATTATTTTACCTAGATTAAACAGGCTACAAACATGCTCCACATATACATCAGCCAAGAGGTTTTAATAACTTTTGTATGTACCTCTTGGTCAGTATGAAATTTGATTATTTTAATAAGAATGTTATAGACCAACCATTGGTGGTTAAATATAAGAGTTGTTTTGACAACCTTCCAGGTACTAGTATAGTAGTAAATTTTATAGGAATACAATAAAAGCAATAACAATATTAACCTTCTTAAAGATGAAGGTTAATAAAATGATATACAAAATGTATGTGTTAAAACAACTCTGTAATATTACTAGAAAGTAACAAAGAAAAATATAATATCGTTAAAAAGGACAAGTCACAACTCAATGGGTACATCCCCATAACTAACCTCCTGTAGTAAATCCTGAGCTGCAATGGCTTTTAGAACATTTTTTTTGCTAGTCTCTTGAATTTCACCACCAACCAATAATTCATCTAAGATGAAATATGCTTTTTCAAAATTGAAAATTATATCTAGTTCACAAACCTAGTAACATATGCAAAATTAATATTAAAAATATTAATTCATTATAATATACAATAGGATAAAAAGTAGATATTATTTTATCTATAACTTTCAGAAAATTTAAAAATGGATATAATTTTATATTGCTATAGATCACGTTTATTTATAAACTGAATATAAAAATGTATAAAAATGAAATTTAGCTAAATATATATTAAAAAAAATTTATATTTTAATATATATTAATTAATAATTTTATTTTACAAAGAATAAATAGCTTAGTTCATACTTACACTTCCAAAATATTTATCTAATAATTCAACATAACGATGTATGATTTCTAATGTTAATAATTCATTATCATTTTGTTCTATTGCACAACAGAAATATAAGCTGGCATATCTGTGACACAAAATGAGAAACTAATAAATAAGATATGTTAATTTTTAGAAATATAATGTAATTATATTATACCTTTTATAGACAACTTTAACATCTTTCCATTCTAAAAAACTTGACATTTTTGGCTTTCGTGCCAATATTGTAGTAATTAGTTCTCGCGTAATTTTTTTTTTCAACTTATCAGGATGAGCCACATACCATTTTTGTAAACGTAATTTTCCTTGACGGCTGAATAATAACATAAATTGCATCTACAAGATTTAATCATTTTTATACATGTAACTTTAATGTTATTTAAAATACCACCAATAATAAGTATTCTTTAAATCTTTTTATATGAAAAAATGAATAATAATTATTAATAATAATTGTGTACCATTTTTAAATAAATCCGTAATAGTAAAACAATTGCAGAATTATACAAGCACTTTTAGATAGATCACAATACAAAAACGGCTATTCCAATTTTGGTTATTCGTAGACATTTATTCACACGTTTTTAGCAGATGGCGTTGACATCAACGAAAGAAATTACGTCATATTTAAATTCAAGTTTGTTCATAAAAAGCTACTTATTAAACTATTTATAAAATAATATTATGTAGAATATACTAAAATACGTAAAAGAATAATATTAAAATAAAAAATGACTTTATATATGCAAAATTGTGATATTATGTTACAATACAAATTACAAATATAATATAACATTATATTTGATTGAATAAGCACATATACATACAAAATAAAAAGTAATAGTATTGTTATATAATATATTAAATTTAATACTGTTATACAATATAATAAATTCAATATCATAATACATAACAGCAACAGTTATACTTAATTATATATAATAAAATACAATTATACTTAATGTTATTTACATAAATAAGTTATATATTAACTGAATAGGTATCTAGTATAGATTTTTAACATTTATGAGAGAAAGATCAGGTATTTTAATATACTTCTAAAATACGCCTTATTACATTTAAAATAATAAATACAGTTTGAAATAAAACATATAAACAGATGATTGTGTCATTAATAATTACATTTTACAATTTTATTTCAAATATTACATAATGTAAAACTATATTTTAGAACTAATTGGTTTTAATTCTTTTTTCAATGTCTGTAACAATTCTGTTTGTAAATAATTTATATTCTTTTCTATTTTATCCTCTAAACTCAAATATTGGTAAGGAAGGCATACTACTATATAGTTTCTACATTTTAATAAATTACAGTATAATTGAATTAATGCAATAAAACGTGTTTGTCCCAGGTATGTATGATGATAATCAACTATTAATATAGCTATCCTGAAATAAATTGTACATATCTTATTTTATATATTCTTACATATGCTGTTACATCAAAATGAAATTTACAATCATCTTATTTCAGTTTCATCTTTGCACTCACTTAGTAAACTTTTGATTATCTTCAATATTACGTATATCAACAAAATTAAAGTTGGAATTCACGCCAAGTTCAGCATCTATAATATTATATAAATATAATATTTTACTTGTTAATGAATATACATTTTGAAATATATTTTTATGAAATACCTATATAAAAACCCATTTTGGTATCTACATTCATTTTAAAATGAAATACAGATGGCAATATATGTTTCAGTGTAGATTCAAGTATGTTAAGATATGATTGTTTAGCTAGATATTTAGTTTTAATAATTGGACACTGTTCATTAACAAGGAAAGGACCTAAGACATATTTGTTAAAATATATATAAGTCATTTTATATCTTTTTAAATATTAAGTAAAATACATTCTACTTTACCAGAATAATTTTTGAGCATATATTTTGCATATGCATTGATATTTAGTAACTTCAATTTGTTGGTTATATTTTCTTTTTCGCCTACAATAAATATTACACATAAATTTATTATATATTATAAATGTTTTAATAATAAATATATAATAAATGCATATAATCTATTGATGAACACTAACCTTGACCTACTAGCATTGAAACAAAGTTTTCATTTAACACAGATTTAGCAAATGAGTCTTCCAATACTTTGAATATAGTACAGGACCATGTAAAACTTAATTTATTATTGGATGTTAAATTCACAAATTTATCATATGGTATATATTCCTAATTATAAAATAATATATTTCAATATATTTCAGTTTTTTGGTTCAGATATATATAGATTTATATAAATGAAAATTCAGAATGTACCTTTATTATTTTTTGTACATATGTAGAATAATAATCTAACATTGCAAATGATTGTAAAATATTTACAATTTCGTTAGAGTCACATTTTATTTTTCCATCAAAAATTTGCTTACATATATGTTCTAAACATCTATCATTTTTATATCTAATAGTAGCCATAGATTTTAATATAGACTTACATGCTTTACTACTTATATCTGTATGGCTTGTGATGTGTTCTGTAATATTCTTAAGTAATCTCTGTAATAAATTTTAATTTATTAAACTTTAATTTGTTTCTGTAAAAGAAAAAAATACTAAACTTACCTCATCAGAATAAGACAGACAGCCCATACAATATAACAGAGTTGAACATGATGTTATGCTTAGATATTTATGATTGTTAATAATGTTTTGAAAATAGGTATTTAAAAGTTGTACATTTCTCGTGCGTCCTCTTGCTAATTTATGTATTTCCTGCATCAAATTACAAATAAATATATTTCAAATAAAATAAAGTAGACTTATTTTATCTTTTTTACCTGGATTATTTGAGGTGTTGAAAATTTATTGTGAGGCAAAGTATGTTTTAAATCATGTTGCAAGTTTTTAACCATTTGTGCTAGGTTATTTATATTACTTTTACTGTCGGTATCTTTGAAATTCAAATTTTTTACTTTATTTCCAAACATATTCAAAGACCATTCCATGATTATTTTTAAAGCATTTAATAGATCAATTTGGGATATTGAAAATTGATCCCCGTTTTGCATAATTTGTATTAGTTCATCTATATCTTGTGCCTTCTGAATTTTATCGATAAATAAGGGTTTCTCTTGTAAACCATTACACAATTTTGTTTTTAATTCATTGAATATTTGATGATATTCCATATTTATTTTATCATTTTGGTACTCTGTCTGCTTTTGCCCTGTCTTCTTAATAAGCTTTAAAAAATTAAGTTTTATTTGTTAATAAGATATAATAATATTTTTGAAGTATCTACATAGTACTAACTACATAAAATGTATATAATTCTAAATTTTTGTCTCTTTATATATGGAACTTTACCTGCTCATTGTAATTAGAGATTACTGCCATTGAATTTGTGCTTAATGATGAGCGTAATCGCCACAAAAGTCGGGGAGTATATTTGATTACCATAGTATTAAATTTCATTATAGTATTAAATTGCGGTATTTTATAATATTGTAATATTAATTTATGTAACTATGAGAAATAAAAATAATAATAGTACAAATCATTATATATTCATCACTTTTTCTTAGAATTTTATTAGTAACATGGAAATATTTCAACTCACATTTTATTTATATTATTTATAAAGAAAGTAATTTTAAGGAGTATAAAAATTAATTTAAATGTATTTTAAATTAAGAAAAAAGTACTAAATTTTTCATGATAAGATTAGATTCTAGTTCATTATTATCTCAACCATTGGTAAAAAATTTGGACAGTGCCGATTTTAATTTGTATATTCAAAATAATAAAGTTCTTAAGGTTAACAAAGTACGAAATTCAGTATTAGGTATACTTATTAAATGGCTTATTTTACAGGTTAGGTTGACTATCATATTGGCTTTCCTTACTTTTATTCATCCAACCAAAAGAGTTAATTGTTTTATGGCGGTAACTAATACAAATACGAATGCGGAGTGAAACTTGAAATTATATGAATTATATGAATTTTTCATTGGAAAAAATTCGATATATTGATCATAAAACTAATTCAATGGTACTACTACTGGATATTATAAAAAGACAATTGCTTTTAAATAAAACATGTATAAATACGTGAGTATAGACAGAATTCATTCTGTCAGCTGCAATTCATAAAAAATAACGGGTTTATTTTATTGGATGATAGAAGTCTACATAACCTGAAAAATGATACATTTTTTAAGCACTCATAATACTCGGTTCATGTGTTGCTAACGTTAAGACTGTAATGTGGAATCTATATATTAAAATCTGTTAGATCATGAAAAGATAGGTTAATAATTGTTATTTAGCTATTTGAATAAAATTAATTTAAATATATTTTCAATATATTTTAATATACTTATATTGTTTAATCAATACGTATCCAAATTTTATTTTCCTTTTTTCCCATCAACACACTTATGTACATATATTTAGATAGACTTACGTATATATTGTTAGACTAGGAAAAGATTGTTTTAGGTTAGAAACATCTGCCATAATCTAAGTCGTAGCTATTCATGCCAAATTGAAATATCATAGTGAATAAAATTATGAAAATGTTATTAAATATTAAGTATTTATAATACTCATTTTGTATCGTTACAGTTAAAATTTATTTGATTTATAATTAATAAATTTAATTAGATATTATATATATATTTTTATTAACTAATTCTTTTATTTTATTTTCCTACTGTTGTGAATTGTAATAACCTTTTATTCTTTTTTACAATTCAGTTTATTTTTTATATGTAATTTAAATACAAAAAATACAACATGAATGTAAAATTAATTGCCATTATATATATTAAAATATGTCATTTTATTTACTCTATTATTAACATATAATTGAAAGTGTGATAGTTAAGTAGTATATCGAATTGTTTTTAATTCTTCGGACTAACAATAAGCAGCCTAATTGTAAAGATATCAAGAAGGCAACTTTTACAACTGAAAAGAAGATCATGTTGTATTTTATTTAGAAATATATTTTACTTATATGTAGTATGTAAATTTTATCTTCAATTCGAGAACAATAAATAATAAATTTTATAAAAATGATCATGGTTAAACAATACTGAAATAACAAATTTAATTACATTTACAATAAAATCTAGATACGTAATAAATTAAATTACATTAGTTGTATTAAAAACTGTAATTATATAAATGCAATTTGTATACATGTATTTCGTGTAACAGAGACACCTGTTAATCAATATAACTTAGAAGGAAATGAAATACTGTAAATTTCGTTGCGATATTCATATAATGCTTTGTAAAACAATATTTTGCGTTTGAGAAATAACAGAAATCTGTAATATAGTAATGCAATATAACTTATAATATACTATAATATATAATGTAATGACGTATATCTCCTTAATCATTACATTATATATTACAAGATTTCTTTCAATATCATTCTATCATTGTCTTCACACAATTCTGATAATGATAATAATTAATTCTCATTTATTATAAAGATATCAGGATTCTTTACTTTCAAATATTCTTTTTTACAAAAGAAAAATAACCATATAACTTCCCTCAAAATCGAATAATCTCTTACGTTCACGCATGCCGATCGAGAATCACGAATTGCGTATTCAAGAAGAATTTGGTTACTGAAATCTCGAAACGTTGTGTACGTCACTCACGTTGCAAACGAGTGATACGAGAAGAAAATCAGTCCTACACGTGGATCTCGCTAGTGGGAAAGGTAGGGGAACGATTTTCAGCTTGACAAATAGCAGGATCGTTGTTTGTCGGCCGATCGTGCGAGCGCATGACAATATTTAAAAGCGACGCGACCGGCGATCGTACGAACGTTCTTCATCGGCGCTGTCAAGGGAAAGTACGATTCTGCCCTCTTTCTATCGACAGTCTGTTCGGACGTAATCACTATGGTTAATCAGATCGCCTCCCTATCTTTTTCAGTGGGTCAGTATTCACCACCTTTTTTTGCTGTTATTTTTTAATATTATAAGACAGGCCTTTTTTGTTTTTGTTTCTTTTTTATTCTTCTGTAACATATATTAAAGTTATACACGCTTAAAATGATTTTAATAATACGAGAGAGTGACTTATGTTGTATTATTTTTACTGAACATTTAAGTTATAGTTTATTTAAATTTTTCAATGAATTATTTCATTATTTAGATAATTCTTGCGATTAAAATTCTCAGTTATTTGAAAACTCGATCGTGTGATTATTTTAAACGGTACGTATGGCTTTTGTGAAATTTCCTATGTATATATTATTTTTCCAAATAACGTGAATATTCACATATTCATTAAAAGTCTTTCGTTCGGAATAGTCAAGTTGAAAATGTGTATATATAAGTATTAGTAAATAATATCTCTAATTTTGATATTATCAAACACAATATTTTTTTACGGTTTAAGTACAATTTTAACATTAGAAGTTTCATTTTGGCACAACTGGTAGTTATTATTATTGACATCATTTTACGTTACAATTTTGACGTGCGAATCTAATCACATACGTCTGAAATGTTATATAGAATATTAATAAAGTTTGATGAAATAAGTAAATATAGCACGAAAGTGGAAACATTTATATTTATCAATAAAAATAATTCCATTATTGTTTATCCTATTTTTTCAAACGCATAATGTTCGAAATGATATTTTAGGCTATGTCAAATTTTAATGATTTACAAGATTTAATAGTAATATAGTAACAGGATTAAAACAAAAATAGATATAAATGTGGTGTTAAAGGATAATTCCTTCTAAAAATTAATGTAATATTTATCTTGCAAATGTTTGACAGTATTATAATATTTTGTTTCATATCGTATTGAAAATAGAATATCATAACATATTAGTTTTTAAGTATCTACGAACAAACGATTTTATTATAAAATATTTCCATTGAACACGAGGGTAGAAAGATTAAATTATTTAGAATATCCATATTCTATTCCGGTGTTATTTTCGTTGTTAAATTAAAAATATTATTAACATTTTTTCTATAAAAATATTATTAAATTAATAAAGTTTCTTTTTCTTAATAATCTGGCGTAAATTTGAACTGACCAGTTCCGATTCACTCGGAATATTCGAGATTGCCAAACATTTCTTATAAACGACAGAAAATATTTTGTCTCAGCGAATTTGCCAATATTTATTAAAAATGTGCCTCGACGTGCTTTTTAAGAACGTGATTTCATTTTTGCATCATCTTTTGCATTGTTATTAAACAATACGACGTTAATCGCATTAAAACAATTGTAAAATCAAATTTACGTAGAACAGACTGAATCGCGGCAAAGTACTATAACTTTAAGTGTATCTTCTGCGATACCTGCTTCTCTACGTCAACGATCAAATGTGCCATTTTACGTCAAAGACGTGCCTCGTCGATGAAACAGTTATCAGAGTCGTGCAGGTTTATTGACTGTCGTAATTGATATATCGTTAAGAAAGTTTTGAGAGTTGATTATTTTATCCAATTTGACAGCGAATGTTATTCATTCAAGTTGGATAACAAATTATATCTCTTTATATTTTGATAATACAAGTATAGATTCGTGGATAAATTGAAAATTGATTACTTTTTTTTTTTAGAATTGTTTGCTTTTTTGAATCAGCTTTATCTGACTTTCACGATTTGTATTTTTCACAGATGCATAAAATTCATTATGAAATATAAAATATATAGGTATAATTTTTACTTGTTTATTGTTATTTTATATATTTCACTTGTTTATTGTTATTTTATATATTTTATATATACTCGTTTTATTGGCATTTTGCATAAAATAAATTTTATGGAGTGCAGAAAAATTTGAAAATTATTCGATATACATGTCCAATAATTTTAAATCATATTCTAATTTAATTCGTTTGACTTGGATAAATTAAATTACTTAAAAAAGTTTTAAATTCTTTATATGCTTTTTAAAAAATTGCATCTTTTCATTGATTATAGCCAGATTGTACTCATTTTCGACCGACAGAGGCTTACGAGAAATTATATTGGTTACCTTTTGCTATCTTGTAGAACGTATCTGGCAGTATGAGCATCCCTGCATAAAAGAACGAAAAGTGAATTCAAACGAAACATCATCAGGATAATTATTGTCGAAGTCACGATAATTACTTCCTTCCATCTTTGTTGTCGTTATTTCGATTCGAGCCTCCTGCTCGCGTGCTTGTTTAAAAAATACGTAAAACCGATCTGCAGATGCACTTTCCGTATTTCAATGTGCAACAGCTGCACTACCAAAATATTAAAATACAGTTGCCTCTGCATTTAACCTTTCATCTAGCTGCTTAGACCAACAATTCAACGACTTACGTGTGCCATTTCATTGATTCGTATTTTATGCTAATCGATTTTTGGAAAAATGTTCGTGGGAAAAATGCGTGGATTTTGGCGAAATATATTTTAGCGAATTATAAAAATACATATTTATTTTCAGTTAGTTATCGCGTTATTAAAAATGAATATAAATAAATCAATAAATAAACATTCGTTATCGATATTTATTTGTTAAATAAATTTATATTTATAAACAAAGCAATATTTATTTATTCAATAAATGTTTGCTATTTCTTATTCTCGTAATAATGCTTTATATATTTTTCTAATAATATAATTTGGAATTATTTATATAATAATTTGTTCTATTTTTACTATACTTTATGGGACACTCGATATTTTGTATGCACAAGTGGAACTACTGTAGGAAGTATAAAGACATGTTCTGTCTTGGTTAATTATATTCAATAATATTTTAACCCTCGGATAAACAGTTTTAATCGTATTATTGCATTACTGTAGGATAAATCGAATCGATACATACCACCCAGGTAATTACTGTCAGCTGTTCCAATGGCTTTGACATTCGTTGAAATGCACTTTGACTTCATTGTGACTTGCACGAATGAATAACCCATTATTGAAGCTGCGCATTGTCAAGTTTACCTTTTACTCGTTTTCAGTATTCAAAAAATCAACACATCTGTTTGTTTGAGTAGATGGCAAAGTTAATGTTAATTAAAAATAATTAATTAAAAGTTATAAAGATAATGATCCTTACGTTATCATCAGAGATAGTTCTTCAATTTTTTCGAATATAATAGAATTTTTAGACAAATAATTGTTTAATTATAAGATACAAATAATTAGAACTTTTATTTTTAATATTGCTTGGATATAATATAATGTAATTTTGAATATAATATAATACGTTTTAATTTAATAAATAAGTATTATTTTTCAGAAACTTTATACAAACTTTTTATAGTGATCTCGAAAAAATTGGGGAAGTTACTGGATACAGAAAGTGGGAAAATAATGCTACCATAGAGAAATAAAAATTACAATATTTCTTTTTCTGGATAATTATTTATTCATCGTGAATTTTGTTACAAAACATTTACAAAAAAATAGGATAATTAAGGAGTAAATTTTGGATTAAAATTTGGATTGAAATTCATTGGAAGTTGGATTAAAATTGGGAAAAAATAGATCACTAAATTTAGATTTCTCTTTACCATAGATCTAAATATAATATCCAACATCGTTTTAACAAATTAAAATTATTTCTTTATTAATACAAACCTACGACAAACAGATTAAACTACCAGTACACAACTTTTATAGTCGACTGTAATAGAGACTAAAATTGCCATTTTCACGTTACCTATAATGCAAATTACAATTATCATCAAACGAAAATTAGCAGGAAAATTTGTCAACGTGGTTCGTGCTTGAAATTAACTATTTATGAGATAAAATTTTATACTATAGTCAATACGTGTAGATAGTATTTTTCGATTAGCCTTGAGATCTACGAAGAATGGAAAAGCACGAGCAAACGGAGCTTAGGCGAATGGAAAAGCACGCGTGACCATAGCAATGAACCAACGCCCAAAGCTGAAGGTTTCTTAAAGGTTCAGATCATTATTCTTTATTCATAGTCTGTACTATGTATTTTCAACCTAATTAATCTAATCTAATACTAATCCAATTTAATTTCAATCGAATGAATGGTATAATAAATTAATATCAATTAAGGAATTTAGTCAAACGTTGCATCTAATATGCAAAAGATGAGATTTAACGTGTACCACTATTATATTAAGAAAATCAATATTATAATGAATAATTAAAAGTGATCTAATATCTAGATTTTTAATAACGGAATTTATTAATTATTTAGCTAAATTACACGCTGCTGAGCATATAGATCTGTTTTCATTTCTGGTATTTGGCTCGTTTCCCAACCACGATTTTACAATTATTTTGGACAGTTATACCAGTGACTTGCTATATTTATTATAAGTGACATTGTGTGTAACGTATCTCATTAATTCACGTGTTTATTCCGACGAAAAATTGTAAACGTGATCCAGATACACTTCAATAAGTGTACTCTAAGATTGGTTAAAGCTATTTCGGAAATATCGATTATTTATACTCTCTTATCTTATTTTAAAAATCCAGTCAGACGAGTACTACAATATTCTATCTAATCTAACAGAAGATTTTCCTTCAATTATTTAAACATTTCTATATTTTGATAAATCGAGAAATCGTGTTACTTCGAAGATACCTATTATTGATACTATTTTATCTTAATTCAAAAATTGAGTCAAATAAATGTTATGATATTCTATGTAATACGATGGAAGTTCTCGTGTTCGTTAATTAACAATTTTAGTGGAAATTCTGATATATTGGAGTAATCCTTTATTCTTATCAACACTTTCATAACTAAAGTTATGTCGACCTCTCGTAAAGACAAATTCAATGGACTTCGTTTACCGTGCATTTACCACCAATTGCTGGTGTCACTATCTTGATTGTGCTAATGGTAATTAAAAACGACCTGGTAGAACGCCAAGAATTCTGTTTGGTGGTACTCCGCTCTTTGTATGAAAAATTTCAGCTGATACAGTTTCGACGTTCTAATTATCCTTAACAATCGCTCTACTTCCAATCAGTCAGGTGTAATGCTATTACAATAATACTTTCATCAACGAGACTAAATAAATAAAGCGATATTTATTTAACGATTCAACAGTGAACTTGTAATAAGCAAGAAATATATATAAAAATATTTAATATTAATGTATAATTAATTAAATAGTAAATAATAAAAATGGAGTACGGAATGAATGTAAAAGTTCATACAGTGGGATTTTCATATGACATGTATTATTGGCGAATTGCTTTTCACTGATCAGTCAATATTTTTTAATAAACAATTTAGATTGAAACCAAAAATTCTTTTTCTACAGAGTAATTGAAATTTTTACGAAACAACAGCTGTTATTGTATCATCCAAGTAATACTTGTATATTCTTTTCTTCAGAGAACAATGGAGTCAAGGAAGGAGCTGCAAATTTCGAAAAGGCCATTAAACTATGCAGTAAGACCTATTTCTTTATCTCTTTCACGAATTTATTTCATTTCTATCTACCTTCTGATTACCCAAGTATTCATTTATATTCAGTCAAAACATTTGCAATATCTTTAACATTAGAGCAACTAAGGCACCCAAAATGATTTGTTTTACTATGTACTTCTATATGTAATTTAATATATAATATCAATTTTAACTTTTATTTAGACAGGAACGTAGTCATTTATTTTTTTATTTAGCATGGTACTTTAATTATTATTATCTACGAATATTATATTCAGGTCCATATTACAAATCAGCAGCTCTAATGTTAAATAAAAGGCATACGTATATATATAATATATTTTCAAAGCAGACAAACAGACAAACTGTAATTAATATAAAAATCAAACTTATTAAATTATTAACGACACTAAAATTATTGAATTATTAATAACATTAAACTTATTTAAAATTATTTTAATACATGATTTTCTATATGTAATTCATGAAATTAATTCATCAATATTAATAATTGTTGACTATATAGATATTTACTATTATAAGTAACAATCACACCAATACTCAATCAATTTGACGATTTCTCTTACCAGAAAAATTAATGTTTAATCTAATTTTTTAAATTTGCAGGGTATGGAAAATTTCACTATGGCATCCTGTTTCTTTGCGGAGCAATGTTCCTTTGCGTTGGTTGTCAGAACGGAATAAACGCGTATATATTACCATCCGCAGAATGTGATCTCAATTTGTCATCCCAGGAAAAAGGTCTTCTGAACGTCTCCTTTCTCGTAGGTAGGGACAGATTCGAGTACTTTTTATTTTGAAAATATACAACGTTGTAAAAGGAAACGTATATTGCACCCTTCGCGCTTATTATCGAGTTGCAATACTTCTGGATGCAAAGCATTGTTAAAAATGATTTTCTTTTAAAACGCGTCGTTTAAACCCGGAAATTTAGGAATACAACGTTAGAAAGACAGAATAAGCGTATTGCATAAATGCTGAATTTATTTTTTGAATTATACCGATATTGAACAGTGATGCAAAATGTTGTATGTTCTTTCATAATGGATACCACGATTTTATTGAAATAGAAGTATGAAATAAATTATAATTTGGTATGCTTATTATAAATATATATAAACAGCGTGATAAAAATAATTTCAATACATTTTTGCACTTTTAGGAAAATTTTCTGCAATCGCAAGTTTTATTTGGAATTTTTGAAGATGAACTCAAATCAGTAATATTGCATATTATCAATGTATCTTCATAATGACACTAATGTATCAATTAATCAATTATATGTATTAATCAATCAATTAGATATTGATTCTTAAACGTGGAAAAAATAATTGGGAAATAAATATTCCTGAATCGAATATGGCCATAATTTGAACTAAAAAATTAAATATGTCCACGTGAAAATGTTCTGAGTAGCCAAATTATTTGTTGAAAATATAAAAATGCTACGATACCCCAACTACCGGTGCATTTTTATTGCAATATGTTAGACACGTTCGATAGCACTTATTTCATTAGGGAAGTCAAGGAGTAGTTTTTATATAACATCCCACTCACAGCTTACGCGATTAACGTCGATTAATTTTCCCCTTAGGTGAGGTATCCATCGAAGATAAACGTCGTTAGTGTTTAAGACATTAAAAGTAAAAGCAAAAATATAAGTATCTTCTATATTGCTGCCATTTAAAAGAATACAAAATTCGAATTTCTTAGAAGTTAATTATATATTTTATATTTAACCTGTAAGAAATTCGAATTTTGTATACTTTTAAATGGCAGCAGTGTAGAAAATATTTATATTTTTTGCTTTTACTTTTTTTTTTTACTAAAGTCTTTTTTTAATAATTAGTAGTGTTTTATATATTTCCTAGTGAAAGAATCTTAAATAAAACAAAATTATATATTTTATATTTATTTTTTTTATTCAAGATTCCTTCACTAGGAAATATATAAAATAATACTAATTATTAAAAAAAGTCTTAATAAATTATATATTTCAAATTTATATATTTAATATAATATATTTAATTATCTATTATATATTTAAACAATTATTTTCTATTTATTAATTTATATTCTCTAAATTAGCTGAATAATAATAAATAATAATAGTAACTAAAGTCATGTTAATATTATTATTAATGTACTCACTACTGTAATTTCTTCTTTCATCAGGAGGAGTCATAAGTTCCCTTTTCTGGGGAATATTCGCAGATGCTTATGGAAGAAGATATATTCTCCTTCTGACTTTATTATGCGACAGCATTTTGTCAATTGCAGGAAGTTTCTCTCAAACCTTCACAGTGCTGTTGATTTTTAGAGCTCTCAATGGATTCTTGTAAGTATGCAGTCTTATTGTAACCCTTTCCCTTTGTTATATGTAAATTAATTCGTGGGTGGGTGTATTTATTAATTTTTTAACCATTATTTACAATTTTAGCATTGGTGCTCCTGGTTCTCTAATCTATACATATCTCGGTGAATTCCATGCAGAGAAACAGAGAGTAAGATCCATTTGTTACGTTGGATTCTTCTGGACTCTATCATGGTTAATATTACCAGGTAAATATCCTTTTGTTACCTATCCTTATCTTATTTCAATATTTAAATTAAATAAACAAAATTAAATAAAATTTTAATAATATAATACTAGTATCTTTTATATGTTACATGCAAAATTTTTTAAAGAAGTAAAAAGGGTTTTGATTTTTGTTCGTTAGGTTTGGCTTGGCTCATTATACCACTGCCAATGTCCCTTCAATTCAACGGCGTGTTGTATAATTCTTGGCGACTGTTCTTGGCTATTATTGGAATACCAACGCTAATGGTAACTCTGGTTGCGACTAGATATCCCGAGAGTCCGAAATTTTTGGTCTCTCAGGGAAAAACGGAAGAAGCACTGGCTATTTTGCGGAAGATCTATACGATAAACACTGGTCATCACGAAGATGAATATCCTGTTAGTATCTACATAATGCAACTCACAGTTTCACGAATAAATGACAGATGAATCGAATAGAAAAAATTCCAATAAAAGAGGAAGTTACTGAATCTAACAATAAAATCAAAAATTTATAAATTTCGATTATCATGCATTAATTAATTAATTAATGAAATAAATTAATTAATGATACCATTTAAGTATTAACTTTATCAGTTATTTATTTTATTTTGAATGAGATTAGGAGGCAGCATACAAATTTTCTTTAAAATAATTAAAACATACCATAGATTAATTTTATTTTTTCAAATCTTGCTTACTTGTCTAGAACTACTTAAAGAATATTAAAGATGTTCTACTTTTTGTGTATTCCAGGTAAAAATCTTGTTATCCGATGATAGGCTGAATATTAACAACAGCAAGAGATCTTTCTCTGCCTCCAGAGTATTAATGGAATTACTGAAAAATATCTGGAAACAAATGTGTTCGCTTGCATCACCGCCACTATTGAAATACGCGGTTCTCTGTTGTACCATTTTCTTCGCGAACATGTTCGGGTAAGTTCTTCATAAATCATATTTCCTTTATGTAGATCATATCTTCTGATACCTTACCTGAACTTATATCGTTAGCAACTATACATTACACGTATAAATATTTGTAATATTTCCTACGATATTAATAGTGAATATGTCTATTAATTATACATACTTTTATATATTTCATAGATTAGGAGAAAAAGAAACACGATAATATCAAAATTACATCATTTGCTTTAATACCTGGAAACCACAAGGAAGAAACATGATAAATCATATTTGGCGATTTTTATGGCAAAATAAGTTCAAAATACGGTTCGTTCATAATATGGTTATTATAGAGTAACAATATTATCAAGTCCATGTAGACTATTGGAAAGTTTTTTAATTTGATTTTGGAATTAAATATAAGTATTTGTCATCTTTGCAGATATTTAAAAAATACTCATATAACATCAGTTTATTTTATTTTATTTTATCATTGTGGTTTTATTACATATTGTTAGACCTAAAATAGATTTATCATGTTTTTCTCATGTGATTTATATGTACACAAGGTATTCTATAGGTTCTCGTACAAATCTTAGCATAATTTAGAAAATTTGGAGCATTTTATATATAGTCATTAATGAATCGATTAATTTATTTTTCAATTGTTGATTATTAATTAAAGATTCTTCTATTCATTTCCAGGTACTATGGTTTCGGCTTATGGCTGCCAGAATTGTTTAATCGTTTCGAAAACTATTACAAATTACACCCGAATGAAACTGTAAGCGTTTGCAAGCTAATCCACGAGACCGATCTTCAGTCCAGTTCAATGTCCGCAAAAGACGTTTTAATCGATTCGACGACCGTCGTGAATAATAATTGTTCACCTAGCATGGATGAGATGGTTTTCATCAATTCGTTGACGATCAACGCGTTTTGCTTACTGGGCAATATCGTGTCTGGCTATCTGGCAAACCGTGTCGGTCGACGAACGATACCAGGTAAATATAAAATATATACAGTGGAGAAAAGTGTATGGAAATTTTCCCATTTCAATAGGAGTATTGAAATTCTAAAATATTAAAATTTTATTGAAATTCTACACTTTTTAAATTAAGGAACTAGCAATAAAATGAAGCAATTGCACTATATGGAGTTCATAGAAAAGTTATAAATTAATGTTGATAAACATTCAGAGATCATATGACAGCTGTGTATTAAAGGAATCCAATAGAGAAAAGTGTATGGAAATTTTCCCATTTCAATAGGAGTATTTAAATTCTAAAATATTAAAATTTTATTGAAATTCTACACTTTTTAAATTAAGGAATTAGCAATAAAATGAAGCAATTGTACTATATGGAGTTCATAGAAAAGTTACAAATTAATGTTAATAAACATTCAGAGATCATATAACAGCTGTGTATTAGAGGAATCCAATAGAAGCTAATCCGACTCTAGCAACTGGAGGAAAAAAAGCTGACAAAAAATATGAGAAAATAGCGATCATTTTAATTAACGATGATGTATTTGTACCATGTGCATCAATTCTTTACCATCATAATAACTATTATTTTAAAGCTTGTACAAATGTTTCTGTATTAGTTATACTACTAGACGTATCATCAATTTCTAAAGCTTCTTTTTATAATTTTAACTTCCTTTGTCTCTTATTTTAGTAACAACCATGCTGTTGGCTGGAATCTTCGGTTTCGCGATTTACTTCGTTCAGTCATCCTTGCAAATTCTCATGGTGAGCTGTATGTTCTCGTTGACGATAGTCACTGCGAATTTCGTCATTAGTAGCATCGTCGTCGACATATTTCCGACGCACGTAGGCGCAGTTGCGATTTGTATGATGACCTGTTTCGGTAGAATCGGCGCGATCGCCAGCAATTTAGCCTTTGGAATGTTGCTCGACATCAGCTGCGAGGTACCGATCTTCTTGGTCGGTGGTATAGTCATCTGTAAGTAAATACTCTTATATCTCTCAGCTTAATCAGCTTCTCTTATTATTTTAAGTTTATTATAAAAAATTCTGGTTTTTCATAACTAAATTTTGTACATATCACTATACAATTATAATGAAAAATTGTAAAAATTTATTTTCTTTTATTTTTGATAAATTAATTTAGAAGATTGAAATCTTTCAGAATTCAACTTTACTTCTTATTTATTGTTTTATTTTAATTTAATATTAAAAGATGTAGGTGTATAATGGAATTACCAGTATCAGGATTAATAATGAGATTTGGTTCTCTTATTCTTTTTTAATTCTTTTTCTATTACATTAACGATTATTTTACTAAAAAATGTAATAATTTTTCAATTACTTATGGAATCTATATCTTTTTCATTTTTGAATTACACAAATCAATCGTGCCATCTGAATAGTTAGACATAAAAATAAAAAATGTAATTCTAATTCTGTAGAATACCCATTATTAAATTTTTCGATTATGCGATTTTTCTAGTAATGGAAATTGTACAGAATTAGTTGTTGAAGATTAGACGTTTAAAATATTGGAATAGCAGATTACTTGAATTAAAGAATTGAATAATGGAGATCCTATTATATTATTTTTATAGCGAATTATATAAATAATCATGTGATAGAATTAATTTAATATTTTCATAATTTTCAGTGGGGGGATTACTGGCTCTCGTCCTTCCAAAGAAGAAGAGTTGAATATTTCCCGGTGCAGAAAGAATGAAGACAAGAATAGAGATTACGCTTATTACAACGTACAACGATTGATCATTCCGTACTTTCCAACATGTTCCATCGTTCATACTCGTTACGCCATTATTTTTTTAAATATCAACGAGAGACAGTTTGTGTTACTCGTTTTTGATGTTCTACTATATACTTCAGCAAATACGCATATGCAAACGATTATAGGTATTAGTCCTGCACAAGGTATCATCGAACTGTCTTTCTCTGAATTATTCATGTAGGACTCGGCGATCTACATGGACATTATTTAGATGAATATTTAAATTCATACAATTATGTTACGTGGATGATATTTTATCGATTCATTATTGAACATCGTTATACAAGTCAGTTGTTTAGATATTTTGATGACTGCAAACATTATTAATGTTATCATTCATTCTCCATTATCACTTCTCTGTGAGAGGTAAAGAGTGAAATTTGAATTATTCAGATTTCATTTTGTAGAGGATTTATCATTCATTTTTGTTCGATTTTGTTCAAGTTCATCGTAGTTTTTAAAGGTTTACTATGCATATTATTATAAAATATTTTTCATTACTTTTTAACTTGAGAAAGTAATAAAAAATGAAAATTATATGATTAAAGAACATGGCGAATTTTACTGATTTATTATCAAATCAACAAATGATATCATTAGAGATAAAAATGTAATTTTGTTCGAGTGTTTTATTTAGAACTTAACAATCATTTTCATGAATTCATAATAATGCTTGCTAGGTCTAACGAAAGATAAACATTCTTCATAGAGAAAGGATGAACATTTTCTTATTTAAATCCACAACTTTTAAACTCAAAACTGATTGCTTCTGTTACAAAATATTTGTAGTATTTTTTAATGTTGTACGTATGTGTGATTTGTGTATACAAATCGAGTATGTAAACAATGTTATGATCGTGTAAATATGAATGTGATGTATATAAGTGAATGAAACAGTTTACGTAGATTAAACGACCAAACTAGTTACCAAAAAATTATAACTTTTTTAAACAAATTATTGCCTGTCATTTTCATATTACTTTTACCACCAATTTCCGTTTAATAATTTTATCATCTACTTTTTTAACTTTATTGAATTTAAATGAGAAATATTATTTAATTATAGTATTTATATTAAACTTTTCAATTTGTCATGAAGGAAATATTGTTCAATGACACTATTCAACACAAATTTCATTCTGTAATATCCATTGAATAATTCTAGTAAAGTTTACTTACTAATGCTAGGAGATTCATTGCTGCTTCACGAGGTAGGTGAGAGCACTCCAAGTTTATCGATGACCATAATTATGATTATTTATGCTTCTGAATAACTATAACTGGTAATCAAAGTTTAAAAATAAACAATCAAATATACTTTTTCCACATGCGATTGCATTTTTACATACAGACCTTCCTATGATACGAATTTACTACACAGTGTCATATACTGTAGTCTTTCCTGAAAAAGAAACCATGAAACAGAATTATCGAAACAGCTTTTAATTCGGTTAGGTGGAGAAAATATTCGTCGATAAACTGTATACGAGATTTTAGCGTCACACAGTCATTTCTCGCTAGTCTAGATTCGCAACCAGCAATATCATAGCAGAGCATAGAAAATAACAAATAAATGCAATTCAAAAGCCTAATTTCGAAAATATTAGTAAAAAACGAACATTGCCCAGCACGACCAGCAAGCCATGGACACTTTCAGCACTATTCTTCGAAAACGCAAACACGGAAGGCAAAAAAAATATCCAATCCCGTTAAAGAAAAATTCACTCTACGCGCATAAATGAAAAAAACCGGAGTCAAAAGCCTAATTTTGGAAATAGAAACTAAAAAAGTAAACTGCGCTGCACGACCTGTCAACGACTAACACATTCGGCACTATTTTTCGAAAACGCACGCTCGGAACGAAAAAAAAAATCTAATCCCGTTAATGAATAATTCACTCTACGCGGATAAATGAAAAAAACCGGGGTCAAAAGCATAATTTTGAAGATAGAAACCAAAAATGTAAACTGCGCAGCACGATCTGAGAGTCACTAACACCTTCGGCACTATTTTAAGAAAACGCACCCTCGAAACGCAAAAAAAATATCCAATCCCATTAAGGAATAATTCATTCTACGCGGATAAATGAAAAAAACCGGGGTCGAAAGCCTAATTTTGAAGATAGAAACCAAAAAAGTAAACTGCGCAGCACGATCCGAGAACCACTGACACTTTCGGCACTATTTTAAGAAAACGCACGCTCCGAGCGCAAAAAAAATATCCAATCCCGTTAAGAAAGAACTCACTCTACGCAGATAAATGAAAAAAACCGGAGTCAAAAGCCTAATTTTGAAGACAGAATCCAAGAAAGTAAACTGCGCAGCACGACCTGTCACCCACTGACACTTTTGGCACTATTTTAAGAAAACGCACGCTCTGAGCGCAAAAAAAATATCCAATCCCGTTAAGAAAGAACTCACTCTACGCAGATAAATGAAAAAAACCGGAGTCAAAAGCCTAATTTTGAAGACAGAATCCAAGAAAGTAAACTGCGCAGCACGACCTGTCACCCACTGACACTTTTGGCACTATTTTAAGAAAACGCACGCTCTGAGCGCAAAAAAAATATCCAATCCCGTTAAGAAAGAACTCACTCTACGCAGATAAATGAAAAAAACCGGAGTCAAAAGCCTAATTTTGAAGACAGAATCCAAGAAAGTAAACTGCGCAGCACGACCTGTCACCCACTGACACTTTTGGCACTATTTTAAGAAAACGCACGCTCTGAGCGCAAAAAAAATATCCAATCCCGTTAAGAAAGAACTCACTCTACGCAGATAAATGAAAAAAACCGGAGTCAAAAGCCTAATTTTGAAGACAGAATCCAAGAAAGTAAACTGCGCAGCACGACCTGTCACCCACTGACACTTTTGGCACTATTTTAAGAAAACGCACGCTCTGAGCGCAAAAAAAATATCCAATCCCGTTAAGAAAGAACTCACTCTACGCAGATAAATGAAAAAAACCGGAGTCAAAAGCCTAATTTTGAAGACAGAATCCAAGAAAGTAAACTGCGCAGCACGACCTGTCACCCACTGACACTTTTGGCACTATTTTAAGAAAACGCACGCTCTGAGCGCAAAAAAAATATCCAATCCCGTTAAGAAAGAACTCACTCTACGCAGATAAATGAAAAAAACCGGAGTCAAAAGCCTAATTTTGAAGACAGAATCCAAGAAAGTAAACTGCGCAGCACGACCTGTCACCCACTGACACTTTTGGCACTATTTTAAGAAAACGCACGCTCTGAGCGCAAAAAAAATATCCAATCCCGTTAAGGAATAATTCATTCTACGCGGATAAATGAAAAAAAACCGGGGTCGAAAGCCTAATTTTGAGGATAGAAACCAAAAAAGTAAACTGCGCAGCACGACCTGTCACCCACTGACACTTTTGGCACTATTTGAAGAAAACGCACGATCTGCGAAAGCCTAATTTTGAAGATAGAAACCAAGAAAGTAAACTGCGCAGCACGACCTGTCACCCACTGACACTTTTGGCACTATTTGAAGAAAACGCACGATCTGCGAAAGCCTAATTTTGAAGATAGAAACCAAGAAAGTAAACTGCGCAGCACGACCTGTCACCCACTGACACTTTTGGCACTATTTGAAGAAAACGCACGATCTGCGAAAGCCTAATTTTGAAGATAGAAACCAAGAAAGTAAACTGCGCAGCACGACCTGTCACCCACTGACACTTTTGGCACTATTTGAAGAAAACGCACGATCTGCGAAAGCCTAATTTTGAAGATAGAAACCAAGAAAGTAAACTGCGCAGCACGACCTGTCACCCACTGACACTTTTGGCACTATTTGAAGAAAACGCACGATCTGCGAAAGCCTAATTTTGAAGATAGAAACCAAGAAAGTAAACTGCGCAGCACGACCTGTCACCCACTGACACTTTTGGCACTATTTGAAGAAAACGCACGATCTGCGAAAGCCTAATTTTGAAGATAGAAACCAAGAAAGTAAACTGCGCAGCACGACCTGTCACCCACTGACACTTTTGGCACTATTTGAAGAAAACGCACGATCTGCGAAAGCCTAATTTTGAAGATAGAAACCAAGAAAGTAAACTGCGCAGCACGACCTGTCACCCACTGACACTTTTGGCACTATTTGAAGAAAACGCACGATCTGCGAAAGCCTAATTTTGAAGATAGAAACCAAGAAAGTAAACTGCGCAGCACGACCTGTCACCCACTGACACTTTTGGCACTATTTGAAGAAAACGCACGATCTGCGAAAGCCTAATTTTGAAGATAGAAACCAAGAAAGTAAACTGCGCAGCACGACCTGTCACCCACTGACACTTTTGGCACTATTTGAAGAAAACGCACGATCTGCGAAAGCCTAATTTTGAAGATAGAAACCAAGAAAGTAAACTGCGCAGCACGACCTGTCACCCACTGACACTTTTGGCACTATTTGAAGAAAACGCACGATCTGAGCGCAAAAAAAATATCCAATCCCGTTAAGAAAGAACTCACTCTACGCAGATAAATGAAAAAAACCGGAGTCAAAAGCCTAATTTTGAAGATAGAAACCAAGAAAGTAAACTGCGCAGCACGACCTGTCACCCACTGACACTTTTGGCACTATTTGAAGAAAACGCACGATCTGAGCGCAAAAAAAATATCCAATCCCATTAAGGAATAATTCATTCTACGCGGATAAATGAAAAAAACCGGGGTCGAAAGCCTAATTTTGAGGATAGAAACCAAAAAAGTAAACTGCGCAGCACGATCCGAGAACCACTGACACTTTCGGCACTATTTTAAGAGAACGCACGCTCCGAGCGCAAAAAAAATATCCAATCCCGTTAAGAAAGAACTCACTCTACGCAGATAAATGAAAAAAACCGGAGTCAAAAGCCTAATTTTGAAGATAGAAACCAAGAAAGTAAA